GGCGGGAGCGGGCCGAGCCCCCCCAGGCGCCGCCGCCGGCCAGCTCGCCCATGTTCATCTCCTCGGCCGGCACCTACGGGGCGGGCGGGGAGGCCCCGGCGGCCGCCGTCTTCCCGGCCCTGCACGAACCCCCGCCGCCGCCGCTCAACGGGCAGATGCGCCTCGGGTTGGCCGTGGCGGCGGCAGCGGCGGCGGCGGCCGAGTTCTACGGGCGCGTCGAGCCTTTCCGCACCTCCTCCGCGGCCGCCTCTGAGGCGCCCTTCGGCCCCGCGCCGCCGGCCTACTTGGCAGCGGCGGCGGCCCTGCAGCAGCAGCAGCACCCGGCGTCGGGGGCACCTCCTCCTCCTCCTCCCCCGGGCTCGCAGCCCCCCCACCCGGCGGCGGCGGCCTTCCTGCGCTACATGCGGCAGCCGATCAAGCAGGAGCTGATCTGCAAGTGGCTGGAGGGCCCTCCGGCCGGGGGGGTCCCGGGGACGGCAGGGGCGCCCTGCTGCTCCAAGACCTACGGCACCATGCACGAGCTGGTCAGCCACGTCACGGTGGAGCACGTCGGGGGCCCGGAGCAGAGCAGCCACGTGTGCTTCTGGGAGGAGTGCCCCCGCCAGGGGAAGCCCTTTAAGGCCAAGTACAAGCTCATCAACCACATCCGCGTCCACACCGGCGAGAAGCCCTTCCCCTGCCCCTTCCCCGGCTGCGGCAAGGTCTTCGCCCGCTCCGAGAACCTCAGGCCCGCTCGCTTGGCCTGCGCGGCCCGGGGAGGAGGGGCGCCCCTGCTCGGCTAAAGGGCCCGGGCACAAGCTTTCCCAGGCTCGCCAACTCCCGCAGCGGCCCCAGGGCGACAAGGGGGCTGAAACCTCCGCGAGGGAGGAGACCAGCTGGCTCTCTCGCCTCCGGGCGGCGGGAAAGCAGAAGGGCGCCGCTTCGCCTCTCCGGCCCTGGGGCCAAACCCTGGGGTGGAAGCAGGGGAGGGGGGAAGAGAGGGACCCTTGTTTCGTCGACAAGAGATTGGGGCGGAGGTGGTCCAAAAGACATTCCGGCGGCAGAGCTTGGCGGACTCTTGGGGGGGGGGGACGCTTATTCCGGGGGCTTTGCGTG